CCCTTTGTGCTGGATGAACGAACGTCTCTCCACATGCTCAGTTCTGAGAGATAAGTGTGTGTGAAAGCCGTCCTTCACCTAGCTTGAAGGGTACACAAAGTTTCTTTTCATTTGCAAGCTCCACACCATACATATATATGGGGAGGTACAAGCTCCAACTCGGTTTTACAGTGCAAACCTCAGGAACATCAAACCGGCTCTAGGAAACAGATTGAGAAACCAGAGTAATTGTTTCTCCTTCAACCCGTTCCCTTTGTGCTGGATGAACGAACGTCTCTACACATGCTCAGTTCTGAGGGATAAGTGGGTGTTAAAGCCGTCCTTTACCTAGCTTGAAGGGAAGATAAATTTTCTATTAAGTGGCAAACACCAGTCCTAACATATATATGGGGAGGAACTAACTTCAACTCGGTTTTACAGTGCAAACCACAGGAACTTCCACCCGGCACTAGGAAACAGACTGAGAAACCAGAGTAAGTATTTCCCTTGCAACTCGTTCCCTTTGTGCTGGATGAACGAAAGTCTCTCCATATGATCAGTTCTGAGACATATGTGTGTGTGAAAGCCGTCCATCACTTCGCTTGAAGAGAACACAAAGTTTCTTTTCAATTACAAACTCCAAACCATACATATATAAGGCGAGGTACAAGCTCCAACTCGGTTTTACAGTGTAAACCGCAGGAACTTAAAACCGGCAGTAGGTAACTGACTGAGAAACCAGAGTAAGTGTTTCTCCTGAACCCGTTCCCTTTGTGCGGGATGAACGAACGTCTCTCCACATGCTCAGTTCTGAGAGATAAGTGTGTGTGAAAACGTCCTTCACCTAGCTTGAAGGGAACACAAAGTTTCTTTTCAGTTGCAAACTCCACACCATACATATATATGGGGAGGTACAAGCTCCAACTCGATTTTACAGTACAAACCGCAGGAACTTCAAACCGGCACTAGGAAACAGACTGAGAAACCAGAGTAAGTGTTTCTCCTGCAACCAGTTCCGTTTGTGCTGGATGAACGAACGTCTCTCCACATGCTCAGTTCTGAGAGATAAGTGTGTGTGAAAGCCGTCCTTCAGCTTGCTTGAAGACAACACAAAGTTTCTTTTCAGTTACAAACTCCAAACAATACATATATATGGCGAGGTACAAGCTCCAACTCGGTTTTACAGTGTAAACCTCAGGAACTTCATACCGGCACTAGGAAACAGACTGAGAAACCAGAGAAATTGTTTCCCCTGCAAACCGTTCCCTTTGTGCTGGATGAACGAACGTTTCTACACATGCTCTGTTCTGAGAGATAAATGTGTGATAAAGCCGTCCTTCACCTAACTTGAAGGGAACACAAAGTTTCTATTCAGTTGCCAACACCAGTCCTTACATATATATGGGGAGGAACTAACTTCAACTCGGTTATACAGTGCAAACCGCAGGAACATCCAACCGGAACTAGGAAACAGACTGAGAAACCAGAGTAAGTGTTTCTCCTGCAACCCGTTCCCTTTGTTCTGGATGAATGAAAATCTCTTCAAATGCTCAGATCTGAGAGATATGTGTGTGTGAAAGCCGTCCTTCACCTAGCTTGAAGGGAACACATAGTTTCTTCTCACTTGCAAACTCCATTCCACACATATATATGGGGAGGAACAAGTTCCAACTCGGTTTTACAGTGCAAACCGCAGGAACTTCAAACTTGCACTAGGAAACGACTGAGAAAGCAGACTAAGGGTTTCTCCTGCAACCC